GTGTCTTTCCCAAGGTCACTGAGCATTAGGTGAGAGTTGGGCTGGTAGCCCAGATCTGGTCCCAAACTGTCATCAGGCCACACCAGAGGAAGGCCTGCCATACTTCTGTTTTTGAGAAGGATATTGATTTAGGGAGCAGGTTGGAGTGGCCCTATCTTATTCCCACAGCTTGAGGGGGGTCAGGCTTTAGCCAGCTGGGGAAGTGGCACGGGGGAGCTGGTCCCCACCTGCCCATGGGAACGTCCCTCCTCGGCACCACTCCCAGTGTCCTGAATGTGACCTTCTCTGTCTTCTGTCTGGAGGACATGCTGCCCTCGGCCCAGACCTACTGCCACTGCCCGTCAGTGCTCAAGGGGTGCAGGGCTGGTGTGCAACCCTGCAAGGGACTCTGCAGATGGCAAGACTGAGTCCTGGGAGGGTAAAGGCCATTGGTGGCAAGTCTGGCATCCCCCTCTTATGCAAAAGCTGTGCTTTTGTTGAAGGGAAGCCTGGGCCTCGTCCTGGCCCTGGCCCCAATTTGCTGCCAGTGAGGGCAACGACCCTACTCAGTAAACATGGTACGAGGCGCAGGGGAGTGAAGCAGCTGGCGCAGGTCATGTAGGGGTGGCTGGGCCTAGAACCAGGAGTGTGGCCCCACACACCCATGCTTAGCAACTCTGCTCTTGCCAGCTGTCGACCTTCAGGGGCTGCGATGCTGTCCTTGGCCTGAAGTTCCCCTGGTCCCTCCAGCCCACCCCTCTCCCAGCTTGCACTCACCCACCTGCCCTGCAAAGGAGGTTTGGAGGGACAATTTGCCCCATAGTCCAATGGAGGGGGAGCAAGAGAGCCCAGTGGGGCTTCTGGCTCTGCCAAGAACCCTCCAGCTTGTCCAGGGCCAGGCCCCCAGCCCAGGTGGGCCTCCCCAGCTCGTCCTGCTCACAAAGCCAACAGACCGTGGTTTCTGCAGACCGTGACCTCCTCCCGGCAGACGGCAGCTCCATCGTCACAGCCAGCTCCAACGCCTCAGTGCGCTTGGTGGGGCCCAGTTTCAGGCTCACCCCAACCTCTCTAAGCCCACCCGTGTGGGCCAGAGAGGGGCTGGAGATGGTGAAGGAGGCGTGGGACAGAGGCAGACTCCGTTAGGCTCAGCTGGGCTGCAGTGTGGCTGTGTGACCTTGGGCCAGTAACTCAAGCTCTCTGAGCCTTGCTTATCTCTCCCACTCCTCTAGGTTCAGGGAGGCAAGGTGTGGAAATGGGCTCCGTGTGGGGTGAGCTGCTGTGCAGACAGAGG